TATCTCCCAGGCCCGCAGCTTGTGCTGTCCCCAACTTAAAGCAATAGAGATATTGGCCTGAGTTAATCCCTGGTGACTTCATTCATCTCCGAGCAGGGATGGGCTTTTGCTGGCAACCAGCCCCTTCTTCTGACCACCTGCCACTGCTTTCTGTGGCATGACTGAGGCCATCGCCTCCTGCCAGGCTTTGCAGCTCTTCCTCCCCACCTCTGTAACGTGCTGTCTGGGCTGTCCATCACCGAGCAGACAGCAGCCACCACGGTGGGAAGTGTTTCAGACTGCAGTGCTGGCAGTGTCCTGCTGCTGTCTGGAGTCGTGCGGGGAGCAGATCTCTCCGGCTGCTTTTGTGCCATGAGGAGGATGATGGTGTTAATGTGCTCCGTGCCACCAGCGTGTCTCCTGGGAGTACGCTGTGTTGTAAAGGTGAAGATCAAGGATTAGCAGCAAAGGTTTGGCTCTCCAGGCTCAGGGTAATGTCCTGGGGGCATCACTGGGAGATGTCACACGGACACTGCAGCCCCATGGAGAGGTGCAGATGAAGACAAACCTCCTCCTTCCTGCACAGGGAACCCAGGATGCTGTGGCCTCACTAGGCTGGTCACAATGGCATGACCACACCTAGCAATTTAGGGCAACTGGCAAAGTTTTGTGGCTCAGGGTGCTGTTAAGTCTGGCATCCTCGCAGGAGGAGCAGCTCCACAATGCCCAGCCCCTAAGGCAGGGTGAAAGGCGGAGGGTGCGAGGCAGGGCCAGCAGCAAGAACGTGGCATCACAGCCAGATTTTTGCAGTGGCTGCTCTTGCCTTCCCTCCAGACGTGGTCGATGGGCCCCATCCTCCATCTCTGCGGAGACAGAATGGGCTGAGCCACCCAAATGTGGTGCCATGGGAGCAATAGCTTCCACATCCCGGTCACTGTTCCCAAACGTAGCCCGGCATCGCCTTTAGTCTCTTCGGTGTCACGATGGTTCAGCTGAGGATCTGCACTAGGCAGCCTTTGCAGATTAAAAGCAATCGAGTTTTTAAACTCAGATCTTACTTATATCTTTGTAATGTTTGTTCTTTGAGAGGCTGGATCGTGTTTTAATTTCACCAGATAGCAGAAAGGCATTACTTGAATGCCAGGAGAAACAAAGATAACTACTCCATTGGTAGGAACGTGGCTTATGGTTTCAAATCCCAAGGCTTGGTCCTGCTCTCATTGTCCCATTGCATTGGAACCTTTATCCCTCTCCCATCCAACCCCAATTTTTTAGTGGTTTGAAATCTGTTTGGGTTTGCTGGCTTGCCCGTTGGGCATTGCCCAATCTCAGTAATCCGGATCAGCAAGGCAGACTCTGTAATTATCTTGGCAGCTACTCTGGGTTAATGAGAAATACAGACAGCAGAGTGGAAGTGAAATCAGTTTGTGGTGGTTACCGTGCCCTTTCATGGGGGAGAAAGGATCTGGGGGGTTTATGGAGGGTGAGGTGCATTGTGCTTGTGATTAAATTAACTGTCGCAAATAACCTTCTGATCAGTTGTTTGAGGCTTAAAGTTATTAGAACAATAATTGCTACTAAAGGGTAAGTTTTGCAGCACTGGGGGGACGACGACTGTGTGCTCTTGTTGGCAGAGATAAGAACATACCCCTTGGCAAACAACATCCAGTGAGCATTAATACCAGACACTTGGGAGGCAGGAGCCAGAAAACAAGGGAGATGTTGCTGTGTTTGCTCCGAAATATCAGGTTCTGGGTACACCTGAGCTGGGAGGAAGGTGCGTCCTTGGAGGGCACCTTGGGAAGCAGGAGAATTGAAGTGCTTGCTCAAAAAGGTGTCACCCGAACTGTCCCCAGGGGCTTAGACCTCTCGGCTCCTCCCTGGAGGGCAGCCAAGGCCACAAAGACTTCTCTACTCGCACCCGTTTAATCAGGAAAATGGAAATAGCATTTTAATAAGATGGTAATGAAGTTGTGGATCAGATTCGTGGATTCCTCATTTGAAGCTACAAATGGGAGCTTTGTTTTTTTCCTTGGGTTTATCACTTCTGTTCTTTCCTGATTAGTCATAATCTTCTGCTGTCCTTCGCTGGGAAACTCCCTCTTTTATTCTCTGCAAAAGTCTATCCTTAAGTTTGTGTATGATCCTCCAGGGAAATCAGGCCACCTATATTTCATCCAGTGACTTCAAACAATTAACCTAACAAAGATTCCTTGCTCTCTCCCCTCCTTTCCCCATCTGTTTCCTAATTACCAGCGGAACTGGGATACATATGCAGACTGTGCCCATTTTTTAATTTAATCACCTCTCTTCTACGTTTTGTGGTTGGCTCTTTAAAAGCTGTGTTTTTCTGCTGGAAAAATAGTAACACACAGGATGAGTGAGTAATAGTAACACACGAGGGTGAGTGAGCCTGGAAAGGGTCTAAGATTCAGAAAAGGGTCTGAGATTGAGTTCTGCTGGAAAAATAGTAACACACAGGATGTGTACCACGAGGGTGAGTGAGCCTGAAAAGGGTCTGAGATTCGGATTTTGGGGGTTGTTTTGTGTTTTTTTTTTCATGACAGAGCTGGAATGTGAAATAATTTCAGTGTTTTTTTTTTTCACGGTAGAGCTGGAATGTGAAATAATTTCAGTCCTTCTTGTGGATTGGAAAGTGTCGAGTCACCTGGAGGGGAAGGCTGAGGGAGCAGGGATGCTGGAGGAGGTCTCACCCCTCTGCTCAGCCTGGAGCAGCTCTGGGATAAGCTGCCTTTGGGCCACGGAAAGCATTTTTGGGAGGAGAACAATTTGCTATTTCTCAGCTCAAGAAGGAAAAATCCCCGTGTCCTTCTGTCCTTGTACAGACTGTCCTGCCTGCCCCATCCCGCAGCCTTCCGAGAGCCCCACGGTGCCATGGCCCGTGTTGTGCCAGCCAGTTCTCCCTTCCTGCGAGCACAGTGTAATTAAAGGCCCTTTGTGATGAAGGGGGAACTGGTGCATCCGTACTGGTGTTACTGGGAGGAAGAGAAGTGCCCTGCAATGGGGCTCTGAATGGGAACTAATGCCCACTTGGTGCAGCCTTTGGTTCTCGTTGCAGAGCTGGATGGGACCGTGTGCTCTCCAGCTCCAGGACCCTCCTGGCATCTTCTCTCCTTTCTCCCCCCAGCTCCCAGCCCACCCTCTGCCCTTTTCCTCTCCCAATTTTACCCTCCCTTGCCCTCCCCTGTGCTCTGAGTCACCTCGTCTGCACCAGGGGGGACGCGATGAGGAAAACCTGTTCCCGTCTGACTGCTCAGCCCACGCTGCCGGCGCGGGGGAATGAGCTGAGACGCGTCTGCCTCCCCCCACGAGGGGAGTCCCCCCTGCTTCCCACCCATGCCCAGACACCCCTGAACCCCAGCAGCCGTGGGGAGACCGCTTCTTTCCTACCAGCCGCAGCCCAGTTGGCAGAAAAGCATTTAACTGTTAGGGATGCTGTTAATTATAGGCAGGGCAGGATGGTTGAGGCTGCGCTGAAACCTGCTGGGAGGTAATTATCCTCTCGCTGGCTCTGAATGCCTTTGGTGTGCTGTGATGCTCCAGGAGTTAAACCCACAGCCGATGCTGCCGGGTGCTGCGTCTCCGGCGTGAGCCTCCCAGGGCTCGGGAAGGTCCCAGCGGCCGCCCCGGCAATGCAGTAAGTGATTCAGCAGAAGGGCTGGAGCCAGGAGGGTTTGGGAGGAGGGTTTGGGAGCTGCTTTGCTCTATTTGCTTGTGCTTCGCTGCATTTGAGGCTCGCTCGTGTGTTTTTAGACAGTTGGGGTGATACGGGGTGGATGCATCGCAGTCCGGTGGGTGGGTGTGGGGGGCACCATGTGCTCCTGGCACACAGCAGCTCGAGGCAGGACGCCTTGCACCGGGCAGAGTGTCAAGGACAGTTCGTGTTCAGGAGATTCAGGGGTTGAGAGATATTTGGGAGCTCTGTTTTGCAGCGTGCTCTGTGCTTTCTGCATTGCAAGAGCAGGACCTGGGAGCTCAAAGGGGATTTTCATTGTTTTCCACCCCTTGCTGTCCAAAGTGCATCCTCTCAAATGCTGGCCAGCCTCCTCCTCAGCTTCTCTTGCTTAAACTGGAGGGGTTTGCATTTCTCAGGCTTCATCTTGTACTTTGCAATAAATAACATTCTCAGCGGAGTCTGGGAAGTCTGTGTTTGGGTCATATCAGGGCTGTGGCTACAGGGAAAAGTGTGTGTATGTGTGTGTGAATTCTCTCTCTTGAGCTCCAGTTTGGTACCAGCAGGGTTGGTACCATGTCTTTAGAGAAGGAGACCCCACAGCTGCCCAGGGAGGTGGTGGAGTCTCCTTCTCTGGAGTTGTTCAAAACCCTCCTGGGCACATTCCTGTGCAACCTGCTCTGGGTGCTCTGGCAGGGGGTTGGAGGAGATGATCTCCAGAGGTCCTTTCCAACCCCACGTCGTTCTGTGATCCTGGTCCCTGAGCAATCTGAGGGAGCAATGCAATGAGGCTCCCTGTGACTCTCCTCACCCTCCTGTGCCTTCATCACCTCAGTTTCCATGGCTGTAAAACAGAGATGCTGCTGTTGGAGAGGGGGAAAATTGTCCTGAAATGTAGGTGAAACACTTAGAAACCCCTGGCTGGGAAATTTCCACCTTTGGGCTGAGATCCTGCCCTGCCTCCCGGGCAGCTTTGCCGCACGATGTGTGGGTCTGTCTCCCCGCTGGGGATGCTGCTGCCAGTGGGGCTGGGACAAAAGGAAGCTGCATCTTGGGAACAAAACCCCGTCGTACCGGCGGCGCTGGCACCCAGGACACGGGGACAGGCCCTGGCTGGCACTCGAAGGGCAGGGGACAGAGTGGGTAGTGTCCTGCACCACAGCTCCTGCATTATTCATGGGGGAAAATCCAGCGAGAGCAGGGAGGGAAGGGAGAAGAAAAGTCGGAGTTATTAATAACAGCTATTGTGCCTTCTCCCCTTCACCGGCCCGTGGGGATGGGTGGGCTGGAGATAACGCAGCCCTGTGTCAGAGGGAGGATGGGAAAAGGGTCTGGGGCAGCAGCTTGGTGATTTCTGGGCTCACCCCTGGCTGGTTGGGTCCTCTCCAGGGCTGGGGGCTGCTTGGCAGAGCCATGGGGCTCGCAGCTCTGTGAGGGCTTAGTGCATCCTCCCCGGCACACAGAGACACGGTGTGGTTGGGATAGAGGAGATGGAGAACTTTAACCTGAGCTCTGGAGGGGAAAACCTGTATCTTAAATGGGAAAGGCAAAGGTAGGCGACTCTCTGCCTTTGGAGTGACTTGTGAGGAGGTGGTGTTGGAGGTGATGTTCTGTGAAAGCCTTGGATGTTGAGACGTTTGCAGGAGAACGGGCAGGAAAGTGCTGTTGTGTCCTGCTTGGGGGCTGCCCGGTGTGTCCCAAGGGCATGGTGTGAGTCACCCTGGGGCTGAGACATGCCCGTGGCTCTGGCCACATGTGCCTGTCCTTCTGGGCAGTGGTGAGCTGAGAATGGCCACCAGCACCTACACCTCCCTCGGCTCTTTTAGTGCATCATTCTGCCATCAGGCAAGCTAATTGGGTTTTGATCTCTATTATTGCAGCCTGTCTTTTGGCTTTCTTGCTTTCCGTTCTTTTCCAAGTCAGGCAGGGATGGTGTGTGTGTGTCTAACCCCTTCATTCCTGCTCTTGGGGCTGCTTGTCACCGAGACGGAGCTGAACGTCGCTGCCGCTGCGCCGGGATGGAAACAGCCCGTTCCTCTGCGGGGGGGAGGCGGTGGTGTAAATACCAGCCTTCATCAGAAACATATGTACCCTTTGATTTAATTAGGATGCTTCTCTTTTAATTCAGAGAGCTCTAGGGCAAGATGGAAAAGCGCTACCCTGACTTCTTGGGTTACTAATAAGCTTTTTCCTGCAAAAGGAGTTGGCGGCTCTGCAGTAATCTGGGTGTAAGCTGATTGTAGGCTCCTGCTCCCTTGCTCTGGGCTGGGGGTTTGTTTGGATCCGAGTTGGTGTGGGAAGGAGGTTATTCCAGAGCACCTATAGATTAATTTTTTGCCCAGGGCAGACATCTAGCAATTGGTCTGCTCCCGGGTACCACGGTGGGATCTGCCTGCACCCCTGCACCGCAGGCAGCCCCACGGCGGTGGCAGGAGGCTTCAGAGCACCCTGCAGCCTCTGGGCACGAGGAGATGGAGACGATGGAGGTGAAACTCCTCGGGGAGGTGATTAGTGTCTTCCTCCCACAAACTGCGCTGGGCATTTCTCATTACTATTTAATGACAGGCTTTGTCTGTTTTGCTTTGCCCAAACCCTCCGTGCACTGAGATGCTCTTGAGACCCCAGAAAGCTCAGTGCACGGAGAAGAGTGCAGCCCAGTGGGCTGGCTTTGGAGGAATGCAAAAGACACGTATGAGCTGGTGACCTGGAAATCTGCCTCCCTGCTCTCCTCTCTCTGTCTGGGTGGACCCGTGAGCTGTGTGGTACAAGGATATTGCATCTTCGTTGCCCCCAGTGATGGCCAGCACATCCCAGCACACAAGTTTGTCCTTTTCCCCCAGCCCTGTCCGTGCTGCAGGGGAGAAAGCTGCTCTCTCAGCTGCTCTGGGTTTAGACACAGGCCGTATGGTCAGACGGTTTGGGTGTAATTGCAGCCAGGTTGCTCTGGAGATGCTGTGTCGAGTTATATATACATCAGTGGTACCTGTCTGTTGCTGTAATTTGATCTGATTAATATGAAAACCTCTCAAAAGGTTGACTGGGAAACCTATCCTAAGAGCCCCGATAGCCACCACCCTGCTTCTGTGCTGCTGGTTTCTTTCCAGAATATGCTCCATCCGACATCTGTTGGGGGGGGACTCTCTTTCAAGGACCCAGAGCTGTCTCCAGGTTGGTCTCCCCCTCCTGTAGTTCAGGTCTCAGCCTCTCTCCTGCCTGTGAAGTGTTTCAATTTGAGAAAGCAGAAAGCAAAGTCTCTGGATGAGCTCAGTTTTGCTGCCTTTTGTGGTGTTCCTTTGGTTGCCCTGGTGTCTTTCCTTCCATACCCATAATTGTCCCAGAATTGAAAGGCAGGTCAAAATTATCCCTCCCCCAGGCTCCACGCTGGGCTGTGGCAGTGGGGATGCAACAGGAGCCATTAGTCACCGTGTCATATCTAGCAGGGATGTGCTGGGGACGGGTGAGGAGGGCGTAACGCCTGGCAAGCTCTCCTGCATCCCAGCAAGGACCCGGCAGGATGGTGCTGGTGGCCCCAGATGGACCAGGCGTGTCCCCAGGCTGACGTGACGTTCTGACGGCGCTGCCGCCACTCGGAGTGTGGCAAATACATTTCCATGCATCTCTCTCTCGGCAGGGAGAATTTGCATAAAACTCTCCAGAAAATAATTAGCATAAAATGGCTGAAAATGAGGATGTCGGATGGGTGACAGGCTCCCGGGCAGGAGGTGGGGAACCTGGGCAGTGCTGGCCCCTCCTTTTTGGGCTCAAACAAACCCTCTGCCCCCCTCTGCACCAGAGGGAAGGGGAGAAGAAGGGATCCCTGAGCCACAGGGAAAACCATTCCCAGTGGGAAACACTTATTGAGCTCTGGTGGGGTGGGAATGGCGAGGAGGTTTCTGATTTCTCAACCGTCATGTAATTGTGGCAGAACATGGTCCTTTAATTGAATCGACTTCTTTTGTATCCTGACCTGATCCTGGTGTTTTCTTTCCCGTGTGAGTTTGTTTACTGCAATAAATAATGGGATTTCTCTGCCCCTCTCTGGTTAAACTGCCCCTGGGTGCCTGCTGGGGCTCAAACAAACCCTCTGCCCCCCTCTGCACCAGAGGGAAGGGGAGAAGAAGGGATCCCTGAGCCACAGGGAAAACCATTCCCAGTGGGAAACACTTATTGAGCTCTGGTGGGGTGGGAATGGCGAGGAGGTTTCTGATTTCTCAACCGTCATGTAATTGTGGCAGAACATGGTCCTTTAATTGAATCGACTTCTTTTGTATCCTGACCTGATCCTGGTGTTTTCTTTCCCGTGTGAGTTTGTTTACTGCAATAAATAATGGGATTTCTCTGCCCCTCTCTGGTTAAACTGCCCCTGGGTGCAGGAAAGGGCTGTGATGAAAATGAGCAAGGCTGTGGGGGCAGAGGGATGGGGAAAGGGCTGCCCCCCTCCCCACAGCATCTCTGCATCCCTGCGAGTCTCTGTCTGCAGCCTCAAATTCAGGTGCACAATCAGGTTTGGCATTTGGAGTAAAAAAAAAATAAAAAGATAAATCCAAATGGGTTCAGAAGTCCCTGATGTGAGATACTCACACTGCCTTGGGCTGCAATGGGAGCCTAGAGGAGGAGGAGAGGGGGCTGGAAGCAGTGGGGAGGATGGACCAGCCCCTCTGCCAATTGCTCAGAGACTCCCTTCGAGAGGTTTTTTCTTCTAATTAAGAACAACAACAAAAAAAAACAGGGACTCAAACTGGTGCTTCAGAACTGACATCGCAAGAAAAGGGCTCTTTTCCATTTTTAATATTAAATTAACAGCGTTTTGCTAAGGGGAACGGAGAGGAAGGTCCTCTGCTTGCCTGCTCCCAGGCGGGGCTGGGGGGGGAACACGCTTCAGAGGGCTTGGCTTGGCTCTCACTAATTTCTCATGAATAATTTTTGAGCTGGGGAGCGAATTCTCCCCCCCTTTTTGCTCGGGAGGGCGATTCTGCGCATGAACGGGGGTTGCCATGGCCACACGCTCCCGGGGGATGCGAGCGAGCGGTTGGGGAGAATGTGGGGGGCTGGTGACCCCCAGAAAAGGGGGTCTGGCGGTGACACGAACCCTGCTGCCAGGGTGTCTGCTGCTCCAGACCATCCTGCTCCAGTCCTGATGTCTGATTTAGTGACACCCTGATTTAGTGCCTGCCCCTGTGCTCTCGGGCAGGGTTTGGTCCTTCACGCTCCATTCCTCCTTGGTGGAAATCCTCGTTTTTTTCACTCAAAAGCTCGCCTCTTGCATTCCTCATGATTTTGACGGTGGGAACCTGTTAGTTGGGTTGGGTGAGGGGCTGATTTGATTTAATGCCTCTGTAATTGAATCCTCCTCGTCGGCGCTGCCTCGCTGATGTCCTTGTGCCTCCTGGTCCTTCTGCAGCCGGTTTGTTCTCCCTTTTCCACCTGAACTGGTGGTGCTGGCAGCCTTTATATCTGGTCCTTCTGGTCCTGCAGGCTCAGTGTTGTAGAAAACCCTGCAGGCAGGAGAGGGGGGAGCCCCAATTCCTGTCTGTGCCCTGCCTGCACCTCGCCTGGGGCTGAGACATTGGGTTTGCTCGTGTTCCCCTGAAACTCAGCAGCTTTCTCAACCCATGCAAAGCAGACAAAGGGTTACAGACGCCTGCAGGTTTGGGAGCCATGAGGGAGGCTGGGAGGCAGATATTATGGGAATTGTATGCATGCCTGAGCAGGAGGGAGGCTGGGCTGCTTGGCATCCGCTCGTCACATGGTGCCCGTTTGGATGCCAGAGGAAGGATCCTGAGGTTGCCACCCAGAATAGATGCTTGTTCTTAAGCTAATTGCACCCTTTCAGTGATTCTCAAATAACAGTGTGCCAAACTTTCTCCGCTCAGAAAATTCCTGGAAAATGCCTGACACTTTTCATTATGCGTTGGAAAGAACGCCTTAAAAGAGCTAACTAGCAAAATAAACAGCTGTTTGTAATTGCAAGATCATAAAAAAGAGCGTTTTATGAGCAGTGAAAAAAAATTTTCTGGCTTTATCAAGCTGGGTTCTGACAGGCTTGTGATTTCCCCAGTCACTTTGGGAAGCGCTTGCCAAGAGAGAGCGGGCTCAGGTCCCCAGGGGATGAGGGTTTGGGCATCTTCCCGGGTCTGAAACAGAACAGACCCCGTTCCTCTGCCCACATTTGTAAAAGCAGAGTCTCAGTCATGTTTGTACGAATGCGTTTCCTTCTCAGATGGTGATGAACGCTCGGGAGCCACCTTCCCAGCACGGGAGGCACTTGCCTTCGCAGCCGCCCACCTCCTCCTGCAGCCGGGCAGCAGCGCTCTCCCTCCGGCAAGAGCACCCGGAAAATGCTGTTTCTGCCTTTATATGTATTTTTTCAGGCAGGAAAAAACAAGTGGTCCTGCTTGGGACCAAGCCAGAGCTCATTAACAGACGCCTCTTGGTGCCTTCTGATGGGGACGGTGCTGCTTCACAGTTTTGTAGGAGGGAGCACGGGTTTCCCTGCGAACCAGCGTGAAAATCCCATCCTTCAACGGGAGCGTCACTCTGGAGGCAGGAGTC